GAACCCATTGGTTTGAATTTTGTGGGAGTATGGGTTGATTGTTGTTGGTTGTGAAAAATTGGAAGAGATTGTTGTGATTTTCATAAGAGACTGTGGGTGTTTTTGAGATTTTTGCATTCTTGAAGAAGGGAAGTTGTCGTTTGTGGGATTGTGGTGATTTTTGTTGGGCATTTAGGGTAGTTTAACTGAGTGTTTGGATTAAGTGCGAAATAGTGATAATGGCACCCAAAAGGAAGCCCGAAAGTGATAGGAGAGAAAAAGGAAAAGGGCAGGCCTCTAGTGATACCCGGTTTGTTAGTCAAGCTGCCCAGAAAAGAAATGAAAATTTTGCAAAGAAACAGGGGGATTTATTGAAGAGAGAGGGCTGGTATTTGCAAAAGCTTTTGAGGGAATAACTGATGTGATTCAAGCTCTGGGTTGGGAGAAATTTTGTAAAGAACCCCTGGCGCTTGCTGTTGCCTTTGTGGTAAAGGAGTTCTATGCCAACGTTCCTGATAGCGTTGACGAGAGTACAATGGTAAAAGGTAAAGAGATAGTATTTATTGCAGTTGCTATTAATCAGTTTTATGGGCTGCCGCAAGTTGAGCTAGATGATGACGCCTATGCCGCATTCAAGCAACAAGTGGATTTTGACGCAGTAATTAATTCTTTGACAGACGGGAAAGCTACATGGTTTATTGCTGCTGGGGAACACATCAGTTTTGACAGTAAGTTCTTGAACTCAAATTCGCACATGTGGCTGTATTTTGTATGCGCTCGATTGATGCCCTCCAAGCACATGAGCACTATCAGTAAAACTAGGGCGATTCTGACATATGCAATCCAGTAGAATATGAGAATGAATATGGGTGAGATTATCTTTCAAGAGATTACCCATTCGGCAAAGCGTACCAAGACTGGTTTTTACTTTCCTCACATGATTACTACATTGTGTAAGCAAGTTGAAGTGTCGTTGAATGCTGAAGAGGTTTTTATTCCGCAAGGCGTGTGTCTTACCATGCATTTTCTGCAAAATTTAACCAATGGGGGCAGAGTAGAGGTACCTAGGACCAAAGCATCTTCATCGACGAAACTTGCCCAAAGAGATCAATTGTCAAAGCTGCATGAAGACATCGAAAAGTTGAAAAAGCAAGATAATAGCCAAGAAGCCTGGATGACGTGGATAAGTGGGCAAATGAGGGTGCAACATGAGATGCAAAGATTGCAACTTGCTCATGCTGGGATAGCAGCACCAGGGTGTGAATGGACTGATTTTGTGTACCTAGCGGATGAGGAACAAGGCGATGCTTCTGATGAGGATTCTGAGGAGAGTATGGAGGAGTAGAGTGAAATTTCAACGTGTTTTAGTTAATGTTGTCAGTGTATTTTGTTGGTTGTTTTTTCTGTTTTGATATACGTGCATTTTGCTACTGTGTGTCTTTGTGTCTTTGAGACTTGTTAGTTTATTTTTGTTTTTGTTAATACTATTTTATCCATTATTGTATTCTGCATAACTATGATGGCCGACAAGGTCTTTTTTTTTTTTTTTTTTTTCCTAGAACAAATGGCGTTTACGCATGGACAGCCTTATTACGTTGAGGACTGCGGTAACGTTCTCTTTCTCTTATTCCTACGCTTAACATTGAGACAATGTTGATTTTATTGGTTGGGAGTAGGAATTTAAGAAACTTAAATTGAGCAGAATTTTTGTATGAATTTAGAGAGCGGTTTTATTTATTCTTTTATTTTAGGTTGTGAGTTTTTATTTTTGTCCCTTGGATGAAGTCATATGTCTATGATAGGAATATGATTGCAACAACATAGAAATAATGGAGGACATTAATTTTTACCTTTGCTTACGAATGTGTGTGAATATTAATGACATTGAGTTGAGACCCTAGTGAACTGTGGATTAAAACTGGTTTAGTCACCTACTTAGAGACGTGTTATGTATGAAGTTTCCATGAACATTATTGTGATCTCAACAAACTCTAGAACTCATTTGATAATCACTCAAGACGAAATCCTAGAATTCACATCACTTAGGAAATGATTTGGGTTGTTTTTGGACCGATTGAGCTTTTCAACCCAACCCCTGTTATTGTCATCGCTAGTTAGCCCTTTGAGCCTTTTAAACACAATTTAGCCTTGTTTTTCGTTCTTTGAACTTAATGTTTACCCTATCCTGATTATGAGCCTAAAATACAATCCTGCCCATTTTATCCTTAACAAATTTAATTGTTATTCAAGCTTAATATGAGTATTGATGAGGAAGTGTAGTTTTGCCACAACCCAGGTTTATGCGAAGAAATTGGTTGGGGGTTGTAGAGTGCTTGTACGATCAGTGGGGATGTGTGTGTTTTCTACTTTTGCATTGATATTAAAAAAAAAAAAAAGAAAAAAAAAGTTGGCATTGAAAAGCATTGTAAAGATTTGGAATTATGCAATTGGGTTTATATTACTGTCAAATAGAAAGAGCTCGATAAAGATTGGGAAGCTATTGAGTGGAAAAGAGAAGTGTGGTGTATGTTAGTAATAAGAATGAATAAAAATTAAGTCTCTTAATTTTATTTTTGTTAAATTCTCTTTCCATTTTTCATGAACTCATGCCCCAGCCTAACATTACAACCTTTACAAAGACCTATTGATCCAAGGTGATGTGAAATTCTATATTAGTTGAGAGTGGCGTGAAAAGTGAGCCTGTAGAGTTTGATTCCATGATTCACATATAAGTCATAACCCAAATACTGAGATCAAAAATTTTGTTCATGAATGTTGTGCATAACACCATCCGAGTTTGTAGACTAATGGTTTGTGGTTGTATGGATGTTCTAGGGTCAATAATGAAAATGAAATTGATGTTTGCATTGTCTGTGAGTTTAGGTGATTTTTAATTAATCTACTTGTTTTGTGTATATGCAATTTTTGAGACGTCTTTATGAATTGATCCAAGACTTTTTGTTAGTGTGTTCTTTTTATGTTTATGTTTTTGTTACTTTTGGAGTTTAGGATAAGTTTAGTGTGCACGTTTGTGGGTATCATCGCTGGAAACCCTCACGAGACTACAACTCGTCCAAATAGGGCCACCTAGGGGTTTAAAGGCTTGTTGCATATGTTAAATGCAATCGTGTCAATCTACGAAAGTGATTTAGGATAGTTTAGATTTAGGTTTTTAATTAGTTGTTTTCTTTTCAAGCTTAGAGACTTATTTTATCGCTTATTTTGCTAGGGACTAGCAAAAAGCTGGTTGGGGTTTGTGATAAGGGCTTGAATGTTTATATTTTGTTAGTGATTTAATTGGTTTATTTATGGAAAAATGTATTTAAAGTGTGGAATTTGGATTAATTCTTTCATAAATGCCATTTACGAGATCACGGGTGCATTTTGAGTGTTTTCAGGCTCAAACAGGTTTTTGAAGGGAAAAGAATGATGTCGATAGGATTCACAATGCGTAGGAACAAATGACACAAGAATCAGGGTCGAAATGAGGAAGTTGTGGCACGTCGAAGATGTTACGGAAAATCTAGAAATCCTTCATCTTGAGTATGCCTCGATGTTTCTGTCGTAACTTGAGCTTTAGAAATTGGAATTTGACGATTCTAGTGGCGTTGGAAAGCTTATTCAGAGAGCTACAATGTTTATGTTGATGAATTTATCGAATTCTGAAGATTACAGATGCCTTGGACAGAAAGAACGATCACCACAGAGACCATTCTTACCGCCGCGGCGATAGGTCACATGTGTGTGTTAATTCCTTATCCTAATCCGAATCTGAATGGGCTAAGTTTTTCTAACCTTTCTCCTAAGCACGAGCAGAAGCAAGAGATATAAAAGAGAGTCCTTAAGAAGTTAAAAGGGCACTTTTGAAGGAGGAAGAAGACGGCTACCAAGTTGGAGATCGAGATCCTAGGAGCTCTCATTCACCGATTAGAGAAGTTTTTATCTTTTTCTTTCTTGTACTGATGTCATTGAATAGAATGATGGATTTTTTTATTTTCATTATGAACTAATTCTCTTTTCTAGGGCTACAGATGTAGCCCAATTTATGAATATGTGTTGACGTTATTATACTGATTTTATATTGAGCATGATTTCTAAGTTTTATTATTGTGTGTAATGCTTTTAGGTCTCAAGGGCCTGAGAGTTGAATGATATCATGGGTTGGGTTGAGATCAAGAGATGAAACCTGATTTGTCTTAGGTAATACAACCATAGATTGAGCGAACGCTAAAGATAGGTTACCGCGATCTGTGAGGCTCCGATAAATTCCATAGAACTTAACGATCTTTTAGCGCCTAAATCCAACTTAGAGATATCTTGGGTTGTTGCTTAAGGGTTAATTTGCTAATTGTTTGAGAGAGATTTAGTGGAATAATAGGGGATTTGGCCTTTAGAATACGCTTAATGAGGTTAACAACAAATGTCAATGCATAGGATTAAATTGGTGCGAAATCTATGCCCTAGGTTTAGTCATATTGATCTTTACATCAAAGCTTTTACAAATTCTGCATTTATTTAGTTTTTAGTTTGTTACTTTATCATTAAAGCTTCTCTTAAAATTCTGTTTTATCAAATAGCAATAGGATATAATAGTTTGGTACTTGGTAGGTAGTTCCCTTGGGATTCGACACTCGTTTACTCGAGTTGTATCACTTGCATGATTTCGTACACTTGCGAAAAGCCTGTCATTGTTAAAACCCCATTTTAGGATGTTGAACCGAAAGCGGGGCAACCTCTGTCATAAAGTGGACGTTTTAAGGAATGAAGTTGAAATGATCCAGCAAGCTCTGGACTTAGATCCTTATAATAAAGAGCTTCATGACTAAGAGGTGATCTTCTCAAATGATTTTCGAGTAGCTCTTCTTGATGAATAGTTCCTTAAACAGAAAGCGAAAGTCCATTGGTTGAGCGTAGGTGATCAAAACTCAGCTTTTTTCTACTAGTCTTTAAGAACAACCAGTAATTTGTGAAGAATTGATAGGATCACGAGGGGTTCGGGAGAAATTGTGGAAGGCTAAGAGATGGTAGAGGAGTTTGTCTCGTTCTTTGAACAACTCCTCGGTACTAATAGCTCGGTTACCTCTTTGGAGAGCATAAATGATATGTTTCCGATTCAAGTGTTTGATTTCCATAGGACTAACATGATAAGTTCGGTCTCTTCAAAGGAGGTAACGCAAGCTACATTTAGTATTGGTGAGGATAAAGCTCCAGGCCCAGATGGATACTCGACAAAACTTTTTAAGGAAGCATGGGGTATTGTGGGGGCTGAAGTCTCAAAGGCAGTCAAGGATTTTTTCATCCAAGGCAGATTACTAAAGGAGATTAATGCCACCAATATAGCTCTTATCCCGAAAATGGAAGTTCCTCTAACAATAGATGATTTTAGACCTATATCTTTTTGCAATATGATTTATTAGTGTGTTTCAAAGATTATTTCGAATAGGGTGAAAAGATGCCTAGTGGATTTGGTGGACAAGACACAGTCATCTTTTGTCCTAGGAAGAGAATAAGTGATAATGTGTTATTAGCACAAGAACTTTTCAAAAACTATCATAGGGAGAGTTGAGCTCCTCGGTGTACCTTCAAGGTAGACATACAAAAAGCCTATGACTTTATTGATTGGAGCTTCCTAATACAATGTTTGAGAAAGTTTGGTTTTTCTCGTTAGATGATTGGTTGGACATGACAACTTTATTCTTGATAGCAAGTAATGGGGAGTTGCATGGTTTTTTCCTAGGAAAACGAGGTCTAAGACGAGGGGATCTGCTTTCACCTTGCTTATTTACGTTGGTAATACAAGTCTTATCACTTATCATTCGCCGAAGGATTAGGGAGAGAAGAGGGTTTCGATACCATTATATGTGTAAAGCTCAAGAAATTAGTCATCTTTGTTTTACAGATAACCTTTTCCTATTATGCCATGGGGACCCAGAGTCGGTGCAAGTCCTTAATGATGTGTTGACAGATTTTGTTGATAGGTTAGGATTGCAACCTAATTTAGCCAAAAGTTATATGTTTACATGTCAAGTTGGCTAGGAACATAGACTCGTTATCAAAAACATCATGGGATTTGCAAAAGGGCAGCTCCCAATTTGTTACCTTAGAGTTATGTTAATTACCTCTTGCTTATGCCATAACGACTACTTACTCTTGCTCGACAAAGTGGAAAAAAGGCTGAATGCTTGAAAAAATAGGTATTTGTCCTATACCGGCTGCCTCCAATTGGTTATTTCAGTTTTTTCATCCATGCAAGTCTATTAGGCATTTGTGTTTATCCTTCCTAAGTCAATTACCAAGGCCATGGAGAAAATGATGAGAACTTTTTTATGGTCGGGAAGTGAAATGGTGAAAGGAAGGGTAAAGGTGGCTTGGAAGGATCTTTGTATCCCTAAATCGACTGGTGGTTTACGTATTCGACTGTTGGGATTATGGAATGTTTCATTAATGGTTTACCATCTTTGGAGTGTGGTTGCTAGAAAAGACTCTTTGTCGGTAAAGTGGATTCATATTGTCAAACTTCGAGGATGTAGTATTTGGAAAGTTCAAGTGTCATGGGACCCAAGTTGGAGTGGGAGGAAGATTCTATAGATCAGGGATAAGGTAAGGAATCATATTGGAATCACATTGGAAATGGTCATTCTACATCTTTGTGGCATGATAGGTGGCACCCCCTTGGCCCACTAGATGAAATTATTCCATCTAGGATTTTTTATGAATCTATATTGGGTCATAAAGCAAGGGTTTGAGATGTTATTATTGATGGATAGTGGGTGTGGCAGAAGAATATCCAACAAAGGTTCACTCAAGTAGTTGGTTATAATTTTCCGATCCCTCGGGTGAGTACTTAGGATATGGTTCATTGGCGAAACAATGAAGGAAGAGTTGTCAAGCTCTCATCCAGGAAGATTTGGCAGGATCTTTCCCAAGAGAGTGCACTGATGCCTTGGCATTGTCTTGCATGGGCAAGAACTTGTATACCTCACCATTCCTTCATCATATTGTTAGGCTAACAAAAATAAAATTATAAATTATAAATTACAAATTCCATTACTTTGTAAAGGTAGATTCTCAAAAGTCAAACCAACTTACTTTAAATGTTATGAAATATAAATACAAATGTATTCACATTACTTTTTCTACAAAAGTTTTTATTTACCCCCCTAATCTTTAATTTTATTTTATATTAGTCTCCGTTCATGGTTCTTGGTTCTGGTCCAGTTCCTAACTATAGGAACCAAAACCAAAACCAAAACCGCACAGTAACGGTTCCAAAAATATGGAATTGGAACCTACTCATTGACTATCGGTTCTGGGTAGGAACCGGAACCAAACCCTGGGTACCCACCGGTTTCGGTTCCAATAGGTTCTTTTGAACACCCCTATGGTTAGCAGTAAAAAGGAAATTGCTTACTCAAGATAGGATGCGAAATTAGGTGGACATGGAAAGCGTCCAGTATGTGTTATGTAATGGTCCCAATGATTTGCATGACCACCTCTTCTTTGCATGTCCTTTCTCCAACACTATATGGGGTTCCATACAAATTAAAGGAAAATTCATGATGCTGCTATATGGGTGGGATAACACGATATCTTGGTGTGTTAGCAGATTTCGGGGTGAAAATATGTATACAGTTTTGGGGCACCTTTTACTTGGGGCAACAGTCTATTTTATATGGCAAGAACGGAATTTCTATTTGTTTTTGGACCAAAGGAGAAGTCAAGAGTGCATTGAAAAGCAAATTTTTGAAGTTGTACGACTTAGACTCCATAGCCTTCGATTCAAAGATAATGCTAGAGTTACAAAAGTAGTGAAGGATTGGGGTCTTCCTGAGCAATGTATTAATGTGGGTAGACATAGGAATATTTGAGCTTTTTTTTTTTTAATTATTATTATTTTTTTTTTATGAGGATGATTGTAGGGTTAACATATCAAGAGGGTTGGGTGCAGATGTTATGTTTTGTGGAGTTTACAGTCTGCTTTGATGTTGTCAGGGACAATGGGGGAGTACGGAATTGGTGCATCAGCCTAGTTGTTTATTCTTGGTAACATAGCCAAGACAAATTACAAGTCATTATGGAGGGTTTTGTATGTATTGGGGAATTATGAGTAGTTGAGGTTTTTTTACTGCTGATAAAGGAAAAGTCTGCAAGTTCTACGGTGTTTTTAGTGGTAGGATTTGCAGTTTTTACTTCTTTTGTTCTAAAGCTTGTGTGGGCAACAGTGTATAGAGATCTTAATAGGGTGTTTTTTGCTACCTATGTATAGGGCTTGGTTGTGTTGTTCCCAAGGACCTTTCTTTTTGGTTCCTTGAGGTTGTGATGGTTGATGGTTAAGGGGTATATATGTTTTGTTTCTTTTGCTTGCTGCAGTTCTTGGGCATGTCCAAGGGTCAGCTTAGGAGGGATTTCCCTTTTGTAGGTTGTATTCTTTATTCTTTTTAATATTACCATTTACCCAAAAATTATGATTTGGTTAAATAATTAAGGACAGTGAACTTAATCACTATGGTTCTCCACAACTTAATTAGTCCACCTGTTTTTTTCTTATATATTATTGTAATTGGAAAATACTTATGTGGTAGCAATGACTTTTTTTTTTTTTTTCCTTTATTCTATATTTCTTATGTTAACTGAGAAATCTTATTAGTATTAATTCAGGCAGTCAGGCACTGAGCTTTACCAACTTCATCAACATTGTGATTAATGGTGGCAAAAAGGTGCATGTTGAAGGAGTTGGAGTGATATATAGCTACGGATGACAACCCCAACATAGATGGAACTCATGTCCAGATTTTCAAGATGTCATATATGATCACTAGCTCTCCTATCAAAAGTCAAAACTAGGGATGAAGCAAGTCTCAAATGTTTGGTAGAAACCCATTATTTAACAAAATCCCTTCAAACTAACAGGTGTCTTCTTTTAATTAAAAGAAATCGAAGAAACTTCATAAATTAACCAACACTGATGGCATATCACCTTTAGAGTATTGTTTCATGGAAAGATTCATTATGTGTAAAATGGATTCATACGGTCCACTTGCGTGGAAGGAACTTTTGGAGTGTAAAAGTTCCTTAGGATGTTAGTTGGTGGTGGCGAAAGATTTTGGGGATGAGAGATAGGTTAAGGAGATATATTGGTGTTTCCCTGGGTAGTGGGTGCTCAATTTCTCTTTGGTATGATGCATGGCATCCTTTGGGTCCTTTGGATTAGATCATTCCTGCTTAGATCTGTGTATGCTTCGAGGTTGGGTTATAATACTAAAGTAAGTGATATTTTTCTTAATGGAATTTGGAGTTGACCGGAGGTTATTCGGGAAAATTTCCCCCAAGTGGTGAGTAATATGACGTAGAACATCTGGCAGATGAATTCATGGAGTCGGTTGAACGTCAGAAGTCCATGCGTAAAGCCTGAAGGTCCTAAATGAGCATGCCATATTCAAACGGCCATAACTTTAGATCTAGGAAGAGTTACAGGGCCCGTAAGATATCGCTGGAAAGCCTATTTTGAGCCCCTTGGCGTGGCAACCCGCTTTAGCCAGCTAGCTAAAGGTCATTTTTTAGGTCAAATTCCACCATTTTGGCGTGTTTCGGGGCTGTTTTAGTTGTTTGCACATTTTTTCCTATTTTATTTCAGGTTTTACTATTTTAATTAATTTAGTTTTTGTTTCCTTTTGCTATTAGGAGTCTTATTAGGTTGTTTGTCACCCTATAAACTTATTTTTCGTTTTGGATGTCATTCAATAAATTATTCAATTTTTACTTTAGATTTTGCAGTTTAAGTTTCTGGATTGAGACTTGTGTTATTAGTTCTAAAGGTGTAGCCGTGTGCTAGCCTTATTTATCATGCTAACTCACTATGTCATAATACTTCTAGTGTGTCTCCTATCCATCCTTTTGATGATGTTTTTTGGGTCACTAAGGAGGGGAAGAGAGTGAACTTCTCTGTTAGACAAACTTGCTGGGATATTTCTCTAGAGGGTAGCAAGGTGCCTTGATTCTCACTCACGTGTTCAAGTAGTTGCATCCTTCGCCATTCGTTCATAATGTGGCTTGCCATTAAGCATAAACTCCTCACTCATGGCAGGATGTCTATGTGGAAGGACCCTTTGAATCTTAAGTGCGCTTTATGCAACAGCCTTATATATAGACTCTCATGATCATCTGTTTTTCGCGTGTCCTTTCTCAAATGAGGTTTGGATGTTGGCCCCATTTAGAGGTAAATTTTCAGCACCTACTAGTGGGTGGGACTCAATTGTTTTATAGTGCGCCAATTCCTTCAAAGGTAAAAGTATTTGGGTCACCATTGCCATCTTTTCTTCGCGACCATTGTTTATTGTATTTGGAAAGAAAGGAACTCCCGCTTTTTTAATGGCCAAAGTAAGCATTGTTTGTGGGTGGGTCAAAAGGTGGTTGGGATTGTTAGGCTCCGGTTAATGAGCCTTCCTTTGAAGGATAATGCTAGAGTTCAGAAAGCTATGGAGGAGTAGCCAATTCTTAGGGAGTATTTAGGAAGAGAAATATTGGGAATCGATGCTAGGTTGTTGTTGGTCGAGGGTGTTTTTTGTAGGGCATGGTTTCTTCTTGGTGTTGTTTGTTGGTATGGATGGTGAGTGGGCAGTGGGAGGGTGTGGGCTTTTTTTTTTTTTTTTGTTTGGTTTGTTGCATGGTGCATTTGGACAGAGATGTTTCTAGAGGAAGGGATCTGGTTGACAGTTTTTTTTTTTTTTTTTTCTCTTGGTGTGTGGGTTAATTTTTTTGTTTGGGGTCCTTTGTTGTGGCTGTTGCAGACTCATCTCTTGGGGTTGTTGTGTGGAGTTTGTGTAGCTGGTTGATAAGAGCTTTAAAGTATTTTGTTAGTGATTTAATTGGATTATTTGTGAGAAAATGTATTTAATTTGTGGAATTTGAATTTATTCTTTTATAAATACATTTTACAAGATCACAGGTGTATTTTGAGTATTTTCAGGTTCAAACTAATATTTTAAGGAAAAATAATGATGTAAATGGAATTCATGATGCGTAGGAACAAACGGTACAAGAATCGGAGTTGAAACGAGAAAGTTGTGACGTGTCGAAGATACAACGTAAAATTTGGAAATCCTTCAAGATGAGCATGCTTCGATGTTTTTGTCATAACTTGAGCTGTAGAAAGCTGAATTCAACGATTCCTAGGGCTTTGGAAAGCTTATTTAGAGAGCTACAAAGTTCGTGTTGATAACTTTACCAAATTCTGGAGATTAGGACTCATTGGACAGAGAGAACTATCGCTGCAGCGATGGGTCATGGGCCTCTCTGGGCTATTGCATTCTCCTAGTCCATATCTTAATGGGTTAAGCATTTAAATTCTTTTCTAAGTAACCTCCAAACCCTAGCACTATAAATTAGGGTCTTTAATTAGTTTTTGAGGAGATTGGAGGAGGAGAAAGGACGGCTACTATTTTGGAGATCAGAATTCTTGCAGTTCTCGTTCGCCAATTAGAGAAGTTTTTATATTTTTCTTTCTTGAACTCATGTTATTGAATACAATGGTTGTTTTTATTACTGTAATTATGAACTAAATCTCTTTTCTAGGGCTAAAGATGTAGCCCAATTTATGAATATGTGTTGACTTCATTGTTGTTAATTCTTATTGAGCATTAATTATAAGTTTTATTATTGTGTGTAATGCTTTCAATTCTTAAGGGTCCGAGAGTTGAATGATATCATGGGTTGGGTTGAGATCAAGAGGTGAAACCTGATTTGTCTAAGGTAATAAAACCATAGATTGAACAAATGCTAGAGATAGGTTACCGCAATCTATGAGGCTCTCGTAAATTCTATAGAACGCAATGATCTCCTAACTCCTAAATCTAACTTAGAGATATTTTGGGTTGTTGTTTAAGGGTTAATTTGCTTATTGTTCGAGAGAAAGTTAGTAGAATATCAGGGAATTTGGCTTTTAGAATAAGATTAATTGGGTTAGCAATAATTGTCAATGCACAGGATTAAATTGGTGTAAAATATGTGCCCTAGGTTTTCATATTGATCTATTTACCAAGTCATTCATAAAATTCTGCTTTTGTTTAGTTTTTAGTTTGTTATCTTATTCATTAAATTCATTCTTAAAATTCGATTTCATCAAATAGTAACAAAATAGACTAGTTTGGTACTTGGTTGGTAGTTCCCTTAGGATTCGACACTCGTTATTACTTGTGCGATTTCATACACTTGCGAATAGCTTGTCAAGTTTTTGGCGCCGTTGTCGGGGAACTATTTTGTTTTACCAATATCAATATGAAATTTTTAGTTGCTACTTTGATGTGTTTTATTTTTGCTTAGAAATTAAATTTTATTTTTGTTTTGTTTGTTGCTTTTAGCTAGAATCTGGAGAGTTTACGTTCAAGAGGTGGTGGTGATCTTAATCCACTAGATTTTGAGATCGAGAGAGCTAAACAATTGAGGAAAGAAAAGAAGCAAGCTGACTTTGAAAAATCAATGGCTAACACAAGAATTGTGAATCCCAATGTGGAAAATCAAGAGAATGAGAATGAGAATACCTTAGAAGGAAATGCAATGGGTGGAGCAGCAGTGGTTCGAAGAGCATTGAAGGACTACTCCAGTCCTACCATTGATGGGTGCTATTCTAGCATTAGGAGACCACCAGTTCAAGCAAATAATTTTGAGATCAAGCCAGCAATTATTCAAATGATTTAGTAGTCGGTCCAATTTGTTAGGTTACCTAATGGTGATCCTAACCTACATATCGCCAACTTTCTAGAGTTATGAGACACATTCAGGCATAATGAAGTATCCAATGATGCGATTAGGCTGAGGCTTTTCCCATTTTCTCTTTGGGATAAAGCTAAGGCTTGGTTGATTTCTCTGCCACCTGGGAGTATCACGACATGGAATGAGTTAGCTCAAACATTCCTCACTAAATATTTTCCACCTGCCAAGTCTGCCAAGCTGAGGAGTGAGATTACCAACTTTTACCAACAAGATTTGGAGTGATTGTATGAAGCATGGAAAAGGTATAAGGATCTTTTACGGAGATGCCCTCACCATGGTTTACCAATCTGGTCACAAGTGCAAACGTTCTACAAACGGTTGCTGCCAACTATTCAAGCCATGATTGATGCTGCAAGTGGGGGAGCATTGAACAATAAAACACCAGAGGAAGCATACAATCTGATTGAGGTGATGGCGAACAATAACTATATGAGGACTTCGGAGAGAACTTCAACATGAAAATCAGCAGGAGTGCACGAAGTTGACAGTTACACCATATTGGCTGCTCAACTTTCAAACATCCAAAAGCAATTAGGTAATGTGTTGAAAAAAAATGTAACTGAATTCTCTTCTCCAACATGTGACCTCTGTGCAGGAAATCATTCATCCAAGGATTGTTAAGAAGGGAACCCGTTTGCTCAGCCTGAACAAGCTAATTACGTAAATAATTTCCAAAGGGGGCAAGGGAATCCATATTCCAACACATACAATCCAGCATGGAGGAAACACCTGAACTTTTCATGGACCAAAAACAACCTCCTGTTTTTCAAACTCAAGAGCCAAAATCTAACTTAGAGAATGTGCTTACCAAGTTCATTGAAGAGACAAGCAAGAGGTTAGAGAAGACTGACATCCTTGTTCAAAATCAATCAGCCTCTATTAGGAACCTTGAGACTTAAATTGGGCAAATTCATAACATATTAGCGGGAAGAGTTCAAGGAGTTTTGCCGAGCGATACAGAGAAGAATCCCAAAGAAAAACGCATGCAATCACCTTGAGAAGTGGATGAATTTTGGGGAATTCAGAGGGTGAAAAATAGAAGCAAGAACAAGAGAAAGATTTGAAGGAAGAGCAGAAGAACGATCACTGTGGCGATGAAATTTATTGCCATAGCAATCGTGAAAATTTGGAGAAGCTCGTCAGCAAGAAGGATGATCGCCACGGTGATGATACTGGTGGCCGCGGCGAGTGTGAATCTGCTCCCAAATCGTTAGAATTTCCAACTCATCGCCGCGGCGATGAATCTGGTGGCTGTAGTGAGCATGCATCTGAGCAAAAACTTTCTTCGAGCCAGGCAAACCTTCCATACCTACAACGGTTGAAGAATTAAAAGCTTGATAAGCAATTCGGTAAGTTTATTGACATGTTTCGAAGTTTACATATTAATATCCCTTTTGTTGATATACTAGAACAGATGCCAAAATATGCAAAGTTTTTGAAGGAGATCCTCTTGCACAAGAGAAAATTCGAGGAACACTAACGGAGGAACGCAGCACGCTGATTCAAAAGAAACTACCACTTAAACTATGAGATCCAAGGAGTTTTACTATCCATTGTATTATTGATTGTTGTTATTTTAATAAATTTTTATGTGATTTAGGGGTAAGTATAAATTTAATGTCGTTTTCCATTTACAAGAAACTTGGATTAGGAGAAGTGAAGCCAACCACCGTGTCTCTCCTATTAGCTGATCGATCAATAACATATCCTAGGGGGGTGGTAGAAGACATCTTGATTAAGGTAGATAAATTGATTTTCCCAATAGATTTCATAGTGTTAGACATGGACGAAGATAGGGAAATACCTTTAATTTTAGGATGACCTTTTCTAGCCACGGGTAGAACATTGATAGATGTCTACTAAGAGAAATTAATATTAAGGGTAGAAGATGAGCAAGTAGAATTTGATGTTTTTGAATCTATGAAGCATCCATCTAAATTAGACACATGTTTTAAGATTAATGTTCTCGACACCATAGTGGAGCAGAATTTTGAAGAAAGCTATCCCATTTCCCCCTTAGAGAATTGTTTGATGAATTCTAGGGATCATGAGGATGAAGTTCATAGTGAAGAGATAAGAGATAAGAGAGTGTTTAAGGTACTTAAATGCTCTACCACCCTTGGTTCGTCCTGAAGCTAAATCGATTAGAGAAATTGGAGCCGTGGTGTCTCAGTCCACTTCACCAATCACGAAGCCACCTACACTTGAGCTCAAGCAACTACCATCTCATTTAAGGTATGCATTTTTAGAATAAGGTAAATTTTTTCCAGTCATTATTAATGCTTCTTTGAATGTAGTAGAGGAGGAAAAGTTGTTGCGCATATTGAGGAAATACAAGAAGGCTATTGGATGGACAATTGTGGATATAAAAGGTATCAGTCCTTTAATTTTGCACACACAAGACCCTAATGGAGGAGAGCTATAAGCCTACCATCCAATCACAAAGAAGATTGAATCCATCAATGCAAGAAGTGGTCAAGAAGGAGGTATTGAAGCTCTTAGATATAGGAATTATATGTCCAATTTTGGATAGTGCATGGGTAAGTCCAGTCCAAGTGGTGCCAAAGAAGGGAGGAATGATAGTGGTCCATAACGATAACAATGAGCTGATTCCAACACAAACAGTCACGGGATGGAGAGTAGGTATCAACTATTGTAAACTGAATTCCGTGACTCGTAAGGACCATTTTCCATTGCCATTCATCGATCAAATGTTAGAAAGATTAGCTGGCCATGAGTTCTATTGTTTCCTAGACGGATATTCAGGCTACAGTCAAATTGCTATAGCACTAGAAGATCAAGAGAAAACGACTTTCACGTGCCCATACGGAACATTCGCATATCAAAGAATGCCTTTTGGCTTGTGCAATGCTCCTGCAACCTTTCAATGTTGCATGATCTCAATATTCTCTTATATGGTTGAGAAGTCCATTGAAGTTTTTATGGACGATTTTTCTGTTTTTGGTGATTCTTTTGATGATTGTTTGACTAACCTATCTAATGTTTTGTAGAGATGTGTTGACACTAACCTGGTGTTAAATTAGGAAAAATGTCATTTCATGGCAGGAGATGGGATTGTGTTAGGTCATCGGATATCCGCGAATGAAATTAAGGTGGATTGAGCGAAGATTGGAGTCATTGAGAAACTACCATCTCCCAATTCAGTGAAGGCTGTCAGAAGTTTCCTTGGGCACGTGAGTTTTTATCAGAGATTCATACAGAATTTCTCTAAAATCTTTTAACCTCTCTATGATTTATTAGCTAAGGATGTTCCCTTTAATTTTAGTCAAGAGTGTTTAGATGCATTTAAGTGTTTAAAAGCAAAATTAATCTCTGCTCCTATTATTATTGCGCCCGATTGGGAACTACCTTTTGAACTCACGTGTAATGCAAGTGATTAAGTTTTAGCGGCTGTTTTAGGACAACGAAAAGGTAAGGTTTTGCATGTGATTTATTATGCCAGCAAGACTTTAACAGGACCACAATTAAATTATGCCACTACTAAAAAAGAATTTTTAGCAGTAGTATTCTCTATTGATAAATTTCATTCTTATTTGCTAGGTACCAAGGTTATTGTGTACACTGACCATGTTGCATTGAAGTACCTCCTAGCAAAACAGGATTCCAACCCAAGATTATTGTGATGGGTGTTGTTCCTACAGGAATTTGACTTGGAAATTAAGGACAAGAAAGGAATGAAAAATTAAGTAGCTGATCATTTATCCCGATTAGAGTCCAATGAAGAAGTTCGAGAGGAAGAGAAGCCAATCAATGAATACTTCCCAGATGAGCAATTGTTTGCTATTCAAGAAAGTCATGGTTTGCAGATATTGCTAACTATTTGGCACGAAAGTTTATGCCCCCTGGAATGAACTCCCAAAGACGAAAGAATTTTTTTGCAGATTTAAAGTACTACTTTTGGGAGGATCCATTTTTGTACAAGCATTGCACCGATCAAATGATAAGAAGATGTATGCCAGAGGAAGAGATGACAAATATTCTTCGTCATTGTCATTCAATGGAAGTGGGTGGTCATTTTGGTTCGACAAAGACCGCCGCTAAAGTTATTCAATCAAGATTTTTCTAGCCCACTCCTTTTAAAGATGCTTTTGATTTTGTTATGAGTTGTGATAAGTGTCAACGGGTTGGGAACATATCCAGGAGAAATGCCATACCTTTAAATAATATCCTAGAAGTAGAATTGTTGGACGTGTGGGGAATAGTATTTTATGGGACCTTTTCCTTCCTCATTTTCTAACCGTTTTATTTTGGTTGTTATAGATTATGTTTCGAAGGGAATATGGCCATTATTATTGTTTATATGGATGACATCATTCTAACAGGTGACCATGACGAAGAAATTAGACTTCTCAAACAATTACTGGATAAAGAATTTTAGATCAAGGACCTAGGGAATCTCAAGTACTTCTTGGGGATGGAAATTGGTAGGTCAAGGAAAGGCATCTCTATCTCCCAATGTAAGTATGTTCTGGATTTGTTGAGTGAAATAGGAATGCTTGGTTGTAAACCTGCCGAGACCCCCATGGATCCAATAGTCAAGCTTGAAGTTAATGATGGGAGTGCTCCTATCGACAAAGGACAATATCAACGCCTTATGGGGAAACTCATCTATCTCTCCCATACTAGACTTGACATTGGTTTCTCCGTCAGTGTAGTCAGCCAGTTCATGAATTGCCCGACTAAGAGACATATGACTGTTGTATACAGAATTATGAGATATCTCAAGATGACTCTAGGTAAGGGTCTATTCTTCTCAAGAACTTCTAAGAGAAATATCAAAGTTTATTCAGATGCAGATTGGGCAGGATCCATTACAGATCGATGATCAACTTCTGGATATTGTTCTTATGTGTGGGGAAACTTGGTGACTTGGAGAAGCAAGAAGCAAACAGTTGTAGCTCGTA